TTTCTGTCTCCTCACCAGGCTGTGAGCTTCTTAAGAGCTAAAACTGGGTCTGTCTGGTTCAGTGTACATCCCAGTTCCTAGCATGACTTCTAATAGGCTCTTACTGAACATTAGTTGAACACATAAATGAATGAATGAATGACACAGCTTTAGGTATGGGAAGGGGCTGAGGCTGAGGGTAGAGAAAGAGCTATAAAGAGAGAAAGAATCCCCCATCTCACGTAATAAAGATGTTGTAATATGCAAGAAAACTATTAAGTGATCTTCAAAACCACAGAAAAAGACAGGTTAAAGAGCATAGAGTAATTCTGTACATCCCATTTGAGAAATACAGCTGGAAATTGTGGGAAGAATATTTATGACTTTCAAATCCAAAGAGGGACATAAAATAGTTGTCTGGCGCAATGATTTCCACCTCTCTGGGGTTGCCGCATACTCTCATGATTTTCTGACAGACCCTGCATCCGAATAAACCTGGCAGCTTAGCATGTGTCAGTGTGTTTATTATTGTGAATTAAAATGAGTTTTGTATATATTAAACTCCATCTCAGTATATCCCAACATCTTGTGCTATTGAAATATAGAAACACCTTGGAGCATCTAGGTGTGTTCAATCACCATTGTGCAATGAAAATCAGACTTTGGGAGACTGTCCTAGAATTTTAATCAGACGAGCCTGTTTGATTAATGTCCTAAGGGAATGTGTTTGGCTTTGCTGTCTTTTATCCCATCATCAGAGCTGCTCTCTCTACTGTGAGGGTCTATGCTATGCTCAGTTGCTATTGGAACCCGGGTCCAAACACCTTTGCTTCTTGCTTTCTCTGCTCCCAAACCTAGTCCTTTCTCCCCAAAGACAAATTTAATAGGCAAAACAAAAAGAGTCCATAAAACTGATAAAGATGGCAAAAGCCCAAGGAGATTCCCACTGCTCAGGATGAGCTCTGGGAAGATTGCTCCTGCCTCACCAGCTGGGGACCTGAGCTGTGAAATGTAGCACACGCTCTGTCTGAGCCTCCTGTAGAGGGAGGATTGCACTGTGCTCTCCCCACTGGCCAAGCATGGAATGGTTTTTCCTGACTACAAGTGTCCTCATCACAGACTTTTGCTCAGGCTTCATTCTTCCTGACTCCATGGCAAAGTGCAAGGTCCACAGATGCTCATTCTAAAGAGAAAGTCTCTTGCTTGCACTTCCATGGGGCCCTCGCCACTTTTGAGAGGAAAGCCACCATTGTGCATTGAGTCTTTGGTTTGGTTTAACATCTGGTCCCCATGTAGACCTGTGGGTAGTTATGATTGTCTCCATTTTATGCAGGAGGAAGTTAAGGTAAAGGAGGGGTATGCAACTTACCCAGGGGTATTAGCCAGTAAGTGACTGAGCTGGGTTTTATTGTTATTTTTTGGTCATTTGTTCAGCAACTCTTTGTTGGGCAGTCACTCTGTACCAGGCCAGGAAACTTCAGCATTCTACATAGTCTCTCTAGAGAAGCAGCCATCAGAGACTCTATCACTACCTGCCTCCATGTGTTGATATAATAGCAGCAGCTGGGAACCTCCAGCCTGAGACCTTTAATGTTAGCCTCTAGAATCCCCTGAAACTTCTTCTGGAGGAGGGTTGGGAGGGGAAAAGCTGGCATTCTCAGTGGTCTTTGCAGCATCCTAATCTAGGACTCTGTGAGCTGACCTTCTGCAGACCCAGTGGAGACCTGGCACTGGCACATCTCACAATTGGTACCATGGTATCTTGGTATCTAGATCAGGCATCAGTTGGATAATAGCTAAGCCAATTAAAGTCTGTCATCACCTATGGAATCTTGATTGGAGATTCTGCCGCAGACTGTTCCTGAAGTTATGCATGTATGTACATGTGTATGCATATGGTGGCATGGATCAGTTTGTGTGTATGCCTGTGTGTGCTTGGCACTTTTATATGTGTGTTGTGTGCCTTCTGTGCCTACTGTGCCTTAGGAGTTCCCTAACATGGCAACGGAGCATCAGATTTGTAAGGCCATTCTGAAAGCAATAAGTTTTTAGGGCTCTACCACCCATTGAATCTCAAGCCATTTGGAAATAATAATCATAATAATAGTTAACTGATTAATAGCTAAGGTAATTGACCACTTAAACTTTTAAGTACTACTCTAAGCTACTTCATAAGTATTAATCCTTAATTCTCAGGACAACCCTATGAGGCTTGAACTATTCTTATTACCTTCTCTTTAAAAATGAGGAAACTGAGGCCAGCAGATCCCATGCTTAGGGACCTGCTGTGAGTAAGCTGTGGAGCTGTGATGGAATTCAAGCCATCTGGACTCAGAACTTGCCCTGCTCACCAAGACTGCAGCCCCCAACTTTACTGAGTTACCAAAGCCATCTTCCTTTATTTGTCATGGCTCCAAGATGTGAGTTGAGGGTTTGAGCTCAGGGATATTTTCTGGTAAAGAAAAGGTACTAGAGTAACCGTGGAAGGCAGTGCATGACAATGGGTCCAGCCAGAGCCTCCGGGGTCACTTCCGCCTGCTTTTCTGCTATCACCACTGCATCATTGGCTGCAGTGGTGGAGCTAAAGCATCTACAGGAGGGAGGCAACCACAGAGGTGAGATAAGAAGTGATCAAGAATGGCATCATGGAGGAACTGAAGGCTACGTGAAGCCCTGGGCACCCACTGGTGCAAACCATGTCAGGTGTTGGGCAGGCTGGGAGGCAGCACTGAGTTCTCTGCAGTGCCAGGGCCTCTGAAGTCACCATCTTCCCTCATGGTCACGCCTTCCTTCCTCTTGTAATAGATAGTTGCTTCTGGAAGCTTCCTTTGGTCAGTTTGCAAGGAAAATCAGGTCCCAAGAGAGGGCCTACGCAGCCGAGGGAATTGAAAAGGGGAAACTGCATAACCATTTCCGTACTTTTGTTTTAGAGAAAACCATACTGAGACTGAAAAAAATACTGGCATTTTAATTTCAATAAACAGGAACACTTTTTCTGTAAGCTCTGCTCCGTGCCCCTCACACTAGTAAAATGTGAATTGCCAAAAAGCACACACACGCAGCCCCTAGCTCCAGCTAAATATGCAAAAGGGCTTTCACTCAGAATGGACAGTGACCCCTTCTGTTCCTCTCTGAGCCAGGTGGATGGGGCTTCTCTTCAGGCCTCTCCACCAGACAATCTTGTACTGGTCATAGCCTGTGTAACTGTCCACAGCAGCCCCTTGTGATGCTTGCTCTCTCAGGCAGTCTGCAAGTGGAAAGCACACATCCTGTCCATGTAGATTTATTCATGTTTCCCGTATCAGTAAGGAGATGGAGCTATAACACATTAAATATTTATAATCATCAGAGAAAAGACAGTACACAGCCCTGAACTGAGATAAGAATACAGTTTCAAAATATTTACAGTGGACACATTTTGCTCCTTCTGGTTCTTCTCTTTGGCCTGGCATTTTAGTTCTCTGATCTCTTTATTGTATTTTCTTTCCAGGTTCCCTGTAGTTTTGAAAACGTCTGACAGAGCCTCCTAAGTCTGAAGAGGATTACTGTATAAGTGAGAGACATTTGGGGAGTCTGGTTCCTGTGTCTCCAAGCAAGAGAGCCCTTTTCAGGAGCCTCCTTTACGCTGATGTGTGTATCTCCAGTTTATGCCTGGATCAAGTTTGTGGCTGGTTCTATCTACGGCTCTACCAAAGACAGCACCAGTGAGAGGAAAGTGGCAGGTAGGTCCCTGAGCTTGTGCTAACCTAAAGAACGGATTTATACTGATATCCTGAATATCTCAAGGTCTTTTAGACAGCCAGAGTTAACATGGAGCCAGGAATGGATTGGTTTATGTTTCCTTTAATCAATTCGACTTTAAAGTGTTTCACATTATTACATTCAGAAGTAGCTCCTTTGTGGTGGTTGATTTTAATCTTGATTCTTTGAAAGATTCCACTCTTTCCTTCTAGGTCTTCAAACAGCCAGTGACCAACAACCACAGAGATTCTATCTGAATGTGTTGCATTAGCAGCACCAGGGAGAGAAAAGTGTTAGAAAGACAAAGACAGGAAAGGTATTAATAATTTGGCACCTTGTTTAATTATAAAGAATGCAAAAGAAGCATCAGCTGTGAAATATGTGGCTATTCAGAGAGATTAAAGACCTCCAACCTTTGGGATGAGGTGCCAGAGAATTATCAGGATCACAGGCGTTTTATTTGATGGGTGCCACATTTGACCTTGATGCGTTGAGGCTGGCACTCCTTTCTGTCCTGGGGATCTCCTGATGTCCTTGCTCCCTGGCGGTATCTGCCCCGGGGCCTCTGGAGGCCTTGCCGTGGAGTATGAGGTTGTGCACGTTGCTGGTGTATATTTATATCGAGGTGGCTTCGTTGCCAAGGAGCTCTGAGAGAAAGCAGAGCGGAGATAACTTCTAATCCACCTTTCTGTGATAATGTGGCGCAAAGTGAAGAGACCCAGGGCTCCGTCCTCTGGTCTGGCATCGCCCTGGGAGGGGCTGGCCCTCGGGGTGTTTTTAGCAGCCCTGGTGCACTGGTGTGAGCTTCTGCATTACAAACTCTGCGCATTGCTGAACTCTGTGCCGCAAATAGGGAAGACTGGGATGGAAAAGGAGAATGAAAGCAAACTGCAATTTGTAGGTAACAAGAAATGTATTTGAGTGTTTGTTCACAAAATTTGGACAGCTGGAGAACGAGAATCTGGGAGCACTGGAACTGGCAAGGAGCCAAGAGGGAATTGGGAGTAGAAAAAGATAGTCCCTTGCCCAAGATCACAGGGGGAGCTGGCAATAGGGGGACTGGGGAGGCCAGCAGTATTAATCTGTCTTCATGCTGCTGATAAAGACATACTGAGACTGGGTAATTTATAAAGGACAGAGGTTTAATGGACTCACAGTTCCATGTGGTTGGGGAGGCCTCACAATCATGGCTAAAGGTGAAAGGCACTTCTTACATGGCAGCAGACAAAGAGAATGCGAACCAGATGAAAGGGGTTTCCCCTTGTAAGACCATTACATATAGATGGGGGAAACTGGCCCCTATGATTCAGTTATCTCCCACTGGGTCTCTCCTACAACATGTGGGAATCATGGGAGCTACAATTTAAGATGAGATTTGGGTGGAGACAGCCTGGGGCTCTTTGCACCACATTCTGTATATTTGGAGGGCACCTAAACAGGAGTGAGTTTCTTTCTCTGACACTTTGAAGCTGACACTTAAGGAGCCACTCCCTGGGGATCATTTCCTGATGGACCATGAGTTCTACCGTTTTAGGATGGATAGATGGGTCTGGAGCTCTGCATAGGAGTGAAGTCAGAGGAGACAGAAGAGGGGTTCAGTCCATCTTATGCACATAGGCTGTGTACTAAGAAGAAATGTGGTGCATGCATACAGCTGTGGTGTATCTGGTGTCAGATAGACTTGGCCTTGCATCCTAGGCTCACCCATGCCTGAACTTGGGTGACTCACTTAAGTTTGCAGTACCTCTGATACCTCATCTTTAAAATGCAAAAAAGGATACTGTTATGATTTGAATGTTATATGCCTCTGAAATTCATATGTTGAAACCTAATAACCAATGTGATGATATTAGGAGGGGGAGCCTTTGGGAGGTGATTAGATTATGAGGGTGGAGCCCTCATAAATGGGATTAGTGACTTTATAAAATGAGGCCAGAGAGCTGCCTTGTCTCTTCTGCCATGTGAAGGCACAGAAAGAAGATGCCTTATTTGAACCAGAAGTGGGTCTTCACCAGACACCCATTCTGCTAGTGCCTTGATCTTGAACTTCCTAGCCTCCAGAACCATGAGAAATAAATGTCTGTGGTTTATAAGCTGCCAGTTTCTGGTATTTTGTTATAGCGTAGTTGTATGCTACAGCAAAGCTAAGACAGTCACCTTCACAGACTTGTTGTAAACTCATATAAGAAAATAGACGTTAAAATCCTGTGTGATAAAAAATGTGCTTTAAAACTGGTTCCTGAGGAACTGGTCTTCCAGTAATAAGCATCATGCAGTGATCACTGCTTGTTCTGTATCCTTGCTATTCTTATCTTTTCAACTTCTCCAGATCATTTCCCCACCTCAGAAGTTGCCTAAGGTGTGAACAAGGGACATGGGCTGGGGTTTATTAAAGTAGAGTCAACTGGTGAGTCTGGATGATCCTGTGTGTTTTTCCAGCATGGATGCTGCCTCATGCATTCATACAAAGTGCCCTGAAGCAGCACCTTCCAAGGATCGGCCTTCCTTGTTGGGATCCAAACAGGTCCCCTTTGAGGTGGAGGGAAGAGAAAAAGGAGGTCCCAGGCCTTTGGCTTGAATTTCTGGTGTCTCCATCTCTTCATGGCACAAAAATCTCCTGGAACAGTTTATCTTTTCACAAGGAATTTTAATCAACATCGGTGGAATAAGAAAAAAGGATATAGGAATTATTCACAGCGTAAAAGTAGCTACACCAGCAAATCAGCCCTGACTGGCGCTGTCTCTTTCCACAGCACTGAGCCTGTGAGGGCCTGTGGGGATTGGATTGATAACCCAGTTTAGTCCAGGTCCAACAATTTGACAGGATTCTTCATAGGCCCTGAAGGGGTTCTGTGTTTTTTTGTATGGGGAATATACTCTGAGAGTTACAGCCATCGCATGCCTCTGTACTTACTCTGGATGATGGCCAAGGTCAGACTGTGGTACTAGCAGAATAACCCTCTTAATCTATGGACATCAGCAGCATCTTCCTGTGAGCAGGAAGACTAAGGAGTCTATCACTAGGCCTTCCTGAATGACCAAGGGCCCTGATGAGCTGAACTGGAGACAGTTGGACAGTGAGTATCTAAACTTGGCCATCAAGGGTGGAAGGAGAGAAACTGTTGTTCTCTGACTCTGAGCTTTCCTCTTTAGGGAGAATGCCTAACCACTTCTAAAAGCTCCCACACTCAAGCCCCAATCAAGTTTTTCCTCCTCCATGAACCCAATTCAGCCAGTAAATATTTAATGAGTGACTATTAGGTTTAAACTTAAGTTGACTTGCTCCAAGGCCTTGGTTTGGGTGGATTCCCATATTAAAGGGAAGTACTGGAAGGGCAGCAATGTCGTGAGCCCCGGTTATTGGTCCAGTACAAACAGGGCCTCAGGCAGTGACTGGGGGGACTAACAGACAAAGTATGTGAGTTCCAACTCCTGCTATCTAGAGAAGAACTTGGATATCCAGGCAACTCGAGATGTCAGGGCCACAGCCTGGCTCTAATGTGGGATTTTCACAGCAATGGAGGATGTGAATGTGGGGCCCAAAAGATGGGCAGGAGCTCTGATGTGTGTATGGACCATCTCAGAGGACCTCTAAGAAGGTGCAGTGAACAAATCAGTGCTTAGAGGGCAAGATTCTGGCCTGGGGTCCAGGACCATTGTAATCTCTACCAGGAATGACCCTTGACCAAGGTACAGCTAGGCTTATAAGTAGAAGCACTGAGGCCTTCAGCCACAAAGGCAATGTCTGGGTCTCTTCTCTTGGCCTTCCTAGATACCACCCTAGTCCAAGGTATGGCTCAAAGCCACCTCCTAAAAATGACGTTTTCTTGGTGTTTCCCAATCCAAGAGACCTCTTCCCCTCTTGATTCCCTAACGAGATGTCCTTCTATCTCACCCACATTGATCTAGAAGAATATTCTACTCAATTTACTCTATTTCTGCATCTGAGCTGAAACTACTCAGAGAGGGGTCAGTATTTCCTCCAGTTATGGTGCCAAAAACTGGCAGGTGCTAACTAGAACACACATGAAACATGTTCTGCACATCACACCTCACCCCAAAGTTACTCCACATCAAGTGAAATACTTTCCAGTTCCTCACCACCACCTACAACACACTGCGTGCATCAGAGGTCCTGGCTGGTCCAGACTCCAGCTCATGGGATCTACCCTGCTGGGAGACCCACAGGCTTGCTTGGCCAAGAAATGTGCTGGACTGAGTTGCTCCGGGCTAAAGAACAGTGGGAATCTTGCTGTTATATTAGAGAAATTCTTGAGAGTTGGCCCATTTTAAGAAATGTAGTTTGTTTAATGACTTTTCAAAAGCCAGTTAAAAGAGATGGAAAAGAACTCAAAAGCATTTAAAAAAAGGACAGAGATTCTACTGGGGATATTGCTTATGATTAGCCCTTACCTTTCTTGCAGATTCGTTCTTGACTTTGCATTCTGTTCTCAGAGTGATACTCTGCTAACCAGGCATTGTCACCTGCTAGGCAACTCACTCAGAGCTCCTTGGCTCTGTCTGGAAAATCTCTCCTTCTCTCGCCCATCCTTGCCTCCCATCCCCCTCTCCCAGCTCAGAACGTTTGTTGACGTTGACAGCTCTTCCCTGGGCCATCATTCATCCTGCCCATGGCAAACTTTGGAGAAAATAAAAAACCCTGCTCCCTTAATCTCATTAGAAGGGCTGCAAATTGAATTTAGCCCCTCTCAGTGTCCCCTCAGCTGGCTGTCATTAGGAGCAGAGGCTGGGCCTTGGCTGAGACCCAAAGACCAGCTAACTGAATTTGAGATGCTGTGGTCTTGACAGGCCAAGAGAGGTAATTGAAGAGCCGTGGGGCTCCTGGTAACATTTCAGGCTGGGATTACACTGGGGATCCAAAACTCCCATCTGCATTGGTGTCGGGGGCACTAAAAAGTCACCCATTGGGCTTCCAGGGTCGGATTATTGATAAAGAGATCATTCCCAGTGGAAGGTGGAGGGGGTGGTGGTCGGGGAGACTGCATTTGGTTACGATGCAGAATCGGTATCAGAGGTGGAGGGAAAGGGACAATGTAGCTGGTGAGAGTCAGCAAATCATTCAAAGTTAGAAACAATTTGCTGAAAGTGTTGTCTAATGAAAAGAAAAAGCAGTTTGGGGAGAGTAGGTGATGAACACGCAAAATACAAGGAAAAGAAATACTGGTTTTAATTTTATTATTTTATTTTTTGACACGAAGTCTCGCTCTGTTGCCCAGGCTGGAGTGCAGCAGCACGATCTCGGCTCACTGCCACCTCCCTCTCCTGGGTTCAAGCAATTCTCTAAGTAGCTGGGATTATAAGGCATATGCCACCATGCCTGGCTAATTTTTGGAAATACTGGGTTTTAATCTGTGGACATTATTGATCTGTTTGTATAACTCTTAATTTTTAAATTCTTGAATCATCTTAGCTTTATTTTTCATGTCAACACTAAACACCAAGCAGAGAGGGGCTTTTTGTGATCAAAAAATTATATTTTTATTTTTGAAAAATGTACTACACACTGCATATAACATATATGCAAATAAAGTATTTATATCCGTATTACAAAAGTATATTCATATAACAAAGTATTTAACAGAGGTTCATGTGGAAGACATGTCTCTACCGATTTGGATTCCTGGGGTTTCTTTAGTTCCCAGGTCTATTGTAAGTATCTCAATAAGGCTGAAAATTCAATGAAATCCTGTTTTAAAGAGGAGGAAGTGAGCAATAATTAACCACCTACTATGTGTAGGCACAGTTCTAAGCCTATCATGCACATTGTCTAACTCATCCTTCATGGCAACAGGAACAAGACAGGCATTACTCCTAGTAGGCGTCCCCACCTTACTGATTCTCACAAAGGTTAGTCAGTGTCTTGCCTGGTGTCATAAGGATAGGAAGGGTGGAGGCTGGGATTGGAACCTAGGACTGCCTGGTTCTATTACTCCTCAGGCCTTCTCGGCTTTGGAGAGTGGTAGGTTTCCTATGCAATGTTGTTTCCCTAAAAAAGCCAAAATGATAGAGTCTGTCACTCAGATGTAGTGTAGTTGGGAACACAGGCTCTGGGGCCAGATGGGCTCAATTTTGCCACCTACTAGCTGTGTGATGTTGCACATTTCCAAATCTCTCTGGGCCCTCCTGGAAAATGGTGATCATAGGAGGACTTGCCCCATCAGTTTACTGTGAGGGTGAAAGAAATTAATGCATATCCAGAGTGCATTGCACAGTGCCTGGCTCATTGTAAGCATTCACTGTGTAATACTGGAGTATAATCACTGTTGCAGTGGTACAGTGAAGAATGTCCACCCACTTGCATATCTGATGGTCTAAATTTGAGAGGTCATCATCCAAATATTAGGCCACAACATCATTAGACTCTGGTTTTCCTTGCCTGACATTGCCAGATTTATGGTCAGAATCCCTCACATTTGGCCGGGTGCTGTGGCTCATGCCTCTAATCCCAGCACTTTGGGAGGCCAAGGTGGGCAGATCATGAAGTCAGGAGTTTGAGACCAGCCTGACAAACATGGTAAAATCCCGTCTCTACGAAAAATACAAAAAATTAGCTGGGCATGGTAGCGTATGTCTATGATCCCACCTACTTGGGAGGCTGAGGCAGGAGAATCACTTGAAACTGGGAGGGGGAGGTTGCAGTGAGCTGAGATCTCATCACTGCACTCCAGCCTGGGTAACAGAGCAAGACTGTCTCAAAACAAAACGAAACAAAACAAAACAAAAAAACAACAACAAAAAAACCCAAAAAACCACCTCACATTTACATTCATAGAACTTACTCATAGATGTAATTTCTGCTGAAGAGTAAAAGATGAACTTAAGGTCTCTATGTTGATTCTATTCATGGATTTTTTTCTCCAGCTTACATCCTCTGATGCAAGGTGAGGGAGGGGTGAGTGGCTGCAGCTCCCCGTCCCCACCCACCCTGCCGCAAGGGCCTTCAATGACCAAGTCCTCACTATATGCTAGGCATTTTACAAATTTTACCTCATTGAATGCCCACTTTTATGTGTATTCTTGTGGGGAGGTATTGTTCTCATTTTTTTAGATGAGAAAAGTGTATTTGTTTTATATTTTCCATATTCTATCATGCCAAGAGCATTCACTACAACCTTAAAGTTTCTCTAGAATGGCACAGACTATTAAAACATGGGCTCTGCTACCTTCAGCAGGAATCAGTTAGGTACTTCAAGGCTTTCTGCCTGGCATTGTGTATCCCAATGGACTGCAGGTTTCAGATTCAATGAACATTGCTGATCCTTACTGCGTGCCTGGCTCTGGGTTGACAGACTTGTCCATGTCATCTCATTTAAGTCACCCATCAACTCTATGAAGAAAAACCTTATGATCCTTCCTTTACAGGTGAAAAGGCCATTCCAAAAATTTTAAATGGAGTTTCAAAGATCACAAAATTACTGACTAGAGGATCTGGGATTTCAATCCAGGGACCTCTCACTAACACCATCTCTGGGGAGCTTCCTATTCTGCAGACCCTCTGCACAGGCCTCTGGAAAGCCACTTGCAATCAGTTAAAGTTGGCACCAGTGATGAAGCCCATTTTTCTTCCCATGTTTAGTTAAATTTCTCTTTTTCTTA